CTGCCTTCTCAACTATACACTGGAGCATATTAGAAGTTACTTTATGAAGGGGGTCATGGGGCCAGGGGAGTTATGTCAATGTCAGCAGCTATAAATGTGGAACATTCTAAGACCCACTGTTTTTGAAGGTTCACTAGAAAACTGTTGATTGCTCGTTGGCCTTCATATCATAGCTCAGGGGATTAATAACACTATCAAGTTCTTTTAACTATCAACAACTATATACTCTTTTGAATGTGCCAAACAGAGTTAGCTGCCCATGTCCAAAGAATCTGCTGGATTGAAAAGAAATGCCTGCAATTCCATAGCATCTGCCCTTAAGCCTTTCAGCTTGGGACACATAGTGAAAGCCATTTCTTTCTCTGCCCACAGCGTTTATCTCTCTTTGACAGTCACATAGATTTTTTTTTTAAAAAGTTCAATAAATAGGCCCTGCACCTGGTGGTACAGCGGGTTAAAGCACAACACTGAGAATCTAAAGCCGCTTCTGCATGAGTTCAATTCCCGCCTGCCCCGGAGGTGACCACATGGTGTGGCAGACCTCTCCTGACCCGCCCGCTGCTTCCCTCAGCAGTGTACTTCGTCGATCTGCCTGTTCTGCTCCCCACTCTGTCTCTGGTGAAGCCTCTCACCACCCCTGAGCCTCTGGCCTGTACCCCAGTTCTGTATGCACAAATAAATAAATCTTTAAAAAAAAAAGTTCAATAAATATTTTTATTTAAGAGATCACACTAGTTTACAGGGGAGTCCCCGGATGTACTTCAAGACACCCCCAAGTGCACCTGCATCTGTGTTCAATCTGTATTCCAAGCATCCCAGATGCCCTGCCGAGTGCTGAAAAGCCATATAAGAGGCAGACCGGAAATTAATTTTATTTTCATTAATTTCATCCTAAGAGCACTTCCAGAGACATTCAGCTTCTAAAGCCATGTTTCAGGTGTCCGGTAATGAGATGTATTCAGACATAACCCCGGTTTTTTCTTTTAACCAAGCTACCAACCTCCATTATTTTTAATTGTGTTTTTTGAAGTAGATGGTTTAAGAAAAAAACAACTTAGAGCTCTGTGATGCTGTGGGAATGTCTTTGATTATCATGTCTGTGGTGCTGCTCAGCAGTTTATCACCTGTCCAGGGCTGAAAGTCGGTGGGAAGGCAGGCAGACCTTGTCATCTTTTTGCTAGTTTACCTTCCTTTGGCCAAGCTACTGGCCAGAGGGTGAAACATTCACATATGGAATGTTTAAGGAGAAAGATGTGTTCAAGTGAGGTTATAGAAGAATGACATGAAAATGAATTTCTCCCTTCTATTCTGGCTAATGTTTACTGGACATATTTAACTAAATGCATGATAATCAATGCTCCTGAAAATCTGTTCACAGTTTTTTGAGGCTTTTTTTCCCCACTTGATTAAAGTGTGTACTGGGGAGGGGTTCTCCAGGAGGAGCCTGAATGACCCCTAAGTGGGGGCAATAAAAATATTCATACTTCAGTGAATTCATTCTGAAATTGGACTGAGTTGGCCTACAGAGAACAGACTGGACCTTAGTTCAAACTCAAACAAGCACATGGTTGCTTGGCTAGAAATGGTCCATTCACTCTACTCCATGAACGCAGCACTCTAGGGGAAACCAACTTAAACTCAGAAGTGTCCCAGAGGAAGTAAAGTTTGAACTAGAGGAACCAGTTGTGTGGTTTGAGGGCGGGATGGCATGTTTGCCAGCACATGGAGCACATGATACCAGGAACAAGCAGGCTGACTTCCTTTGAGGCCTGAGTGTGTCTCTTGGGGTCAGAGTCTGCGTGGGCACCACCAGCATCTTAGGTCTCCTTTATCTACAGCCAAGTTCAGAGTCTCCTCTCCCCCCCTCTACCTCCTGTTCTTTCAGAACTGTGTTGTCATCAGCTAGACTGCATCTTATTACTGATCATCACAGTCCAGGCCTGCCTTCTGGAGGAAACATTTTCTCCTTCTTTTTTTTTTTTTTAAAGATTTATTTATTTATTTATTCATACAGAACTGGGGACAGAACTGGGGTACAGGCCAGAGTTGCAGGGGCAATGAGAGGATTCACCAGAGACAGAGTGGGGAGCAGAACAGGCAGATTGATGAAGTAAAGTGCTGAAGGGAGCAGCGGGCGGGTCAGGAGAGGTCCGCCACGCCATGTGGTCACTTGCGGGGCAGGTGGGAATCGAACTCATGCAGAAGCGGCTTTAGATTCTCAGTGCTGCGCTTTAACCCACTGCGCCACCAGGAAGGACCACCTTCTCCTTTTTTTTATATATACTTTTACATTGTTGTTCCTTCTCTCAGGTGTGATCCCGTATAATCCCCACCACTGAGACACCTGGGAACCATCACCATTGTCTCCTATGCTCTTCCCTCCCCTATTTTGGTGTGTTTATTATTTTTTATTGCTTAATAGTTTTCTATTGTGTGTATATACCACATCTTCTTGATCCAGTCATCTGTTTGGGGGCATTTAGTTTGGGAAACATAATTTTCTTGATAAAGTTTTAACTACTTCTGATCTCCTTGGCCATTTGTTAATAAATCAGCTCTGTGAATCCAGGAAGAGATAAGTGAAAACCCAGTTAGGTTTAATTTTGTTATTTTAACTCTTGGAGGTTTTTATTTCTCTTACATATTTCATTTCCCATCTTCTCTATCACCTTCCCTCTCAAGGAAGGATAATCATAAACTTCAGGTCAAGCTTTTTTATAACTCCCAACCACTGGAATCATTTCTAAGTACAATCCTATAGATTATTCACATAGGGCATTCTAAATCTGACATTTCAAACATAAAATATTTCTTAAGTGAACCTGATTGTAATAACATTCATTCACTGAGTTACCAGGTGCTTTTTACATTCCAGCATAAAACCAGATGAGAATCAGGAGGAGTGGAAAAACCAGTTTATTTGAGGAGACTGCAGTTTGCAGTAATGGAAAAACAAGCTACCAACCTTTCTGAAGAGTTCCTATTGCTCTTAACTTTGTTGCTTCCTGTCCATGTCAATCTTGGTGTTTTTTTTTTTTTTTTTCCTGATCCCTGTTTGGAACTTTGGAGATGAAGGAAAGCTCTGGATGAAATCTAGAGAATCTGCACAGACGAGGGAAATTTCCAAAGAGTGGCCTTGCTCTTGGTCTTTGGAGAATTAGAGTCTTTCCACAAGGTCCTCTCCCATTATATCTCTGAGATTTTGAGGTCAGCCAAACCTTATGGTTATTTGAAGGACTCAAAGCAGACTTTGACTAAACACAAGCTTCCCCCACTACCCTGAAGTAGAATATTTCTATTTGGTGTGATTGGTAGGCTCTTTTTTGGGGTCTGGTAAGGCCATTGCCAGACCCACAGAACAACCAATGGAAACATACCAAATGGGAGTATTCTACTTTCAGATAATAGTAAAGGGAACCTGTATCTGCTTTAGTTGGGAACCCTTACTAGAGCCAAACCAACAAGTTCAACTTGCATGTAAATTGTAACTCATAGATCTACAGGTTCGTGTCATGGACTGATGCAAATCACAAAACCTATTGGTTACTCCAAGAGTCATCATTCTCAAGGGGACCTTCATAGAGAATACAAAAGAAGTCAATGAAAGAATGTGTTCAAGAATTAGCATGAGGGCAGGCCTGCCTGGAGGCAGAAGGGATTAAGTGTCAGCCACTGCAGCATCAGTTCCATTCCTGGCCAGGGAGCTGATTCACATGGCACAGCAGATCTCTCCTGTCTCTCCACTGCTGCCCTCAACAGTGTATTTTGGTCAATCCACCTGTTCTGCTCCCCACTCTGTCTCTGGTGAAACCTCTTACCATCCCCCCACATCTCTGACCCAGCTCTTGTATGCATAAATAAATCTTAAAGAGCATGAGGGGCAATGCTTAGCAGGCTCCTTGGGGGGGGGGGGGTTAGTTTTCAAATATCTAATTTGCAGCATGTAATTCATGCCTAGAATAATTCCCAATCAATAGTCTACATCATAAGATATAAAGACCCATCTTGAGAATCAACCATGGCTCAATATTTGTTGAAGTTCCTATGCTCTCCTTTCTGTATTTCTTTGAATTGCCTGTGAGTTTCCTTGTATTTATATTATAAATGTATATATTCCTAAGTTAGATATCATGGACTGGCAGCTTATTTCCATCATATATATTCTATAATTCTGTGTGAATTATCCTGTAACTTAACCTTTTTCACTCAGCAGTGTGTTTATGAGGGATATTGAGGTTGATATACAGAGCCCTGGGTCATATTTGCTTTACCAGTGTTTTTTATGAGTGATTGTCATTGGGGAGGAAGAAAGGGACATGAAGGGAGCCACTTCCTGTTGTGGACACTCTTAGTGTCCCCAAGTGGTGAGACAGTTTACCCATGGGTCAGCTGCTAGGGTTCTAATGGAATCCAGCGGGTAGTAGAAGCTAATTATAATGCAAGAAACTGAATTTGCATAGAGAATGTTGAATTAATGAAATCTCAAATTGCACAGCAATAAACATACAGTAATAATGCATGTTTATGGAAAAAAACTTTTTTTTTTTTGCTGTGTACACAACTGTTTCAGAAATTACTCTTATAAGTGTCATGGGCTAATTTTTTTCTTCCTTGTTTTCTCCACATTTTCAGTGTTTCTGGATTCTCTCCCACAGATTTGATTCTTGTTCTGTAACTTTTTGAAGGATTGACCTGAGCATTGTTAGTGTAACTCATTGGCCACCTGATTAGACACCAAACAAAGGCTTTGGAGATCATTTATGTCGAACAATAATGACTTTCTTGGAATGCAGTCCCAGTGAAGCTTGTTTTTGTGTAGCCTGGACAATCACCTAACAATCATCGGCAAATCTTCAGAGACCTTGTAACAATCACAACATCAAACAACTAAGGGACTCGAGGTTGTTTGGGAGACCTGAAAAATTGTGAATATTAGTTCACTTGGAAGATCAACCACTGCTAGCCTACTGATTCGACAGCTGCAGAGCTGCTGCTGAAATATGTCTAAGAACTCGGAGATCATCAATCTGTCGTTTTTATTAGATCATGAGAAGGAAATGATCCTGGGAGTCCTAAAGAGAGATGAATATTTGAAGAAAGTGGAGGACAAGAGAATAAGGTAATACTCTTTATCTTCTTGAATGTTTTCTATTGCAAACAATTTAGATCAGAATGGGGCTGCTGTAAACTTTGGAAACAAGGGATGATCGTCTTTTCTGTCTCCTTTTACCGAAATCTCAGTTTTGCTCAACTTTGGTAGCGAAATTTTAAAAGCAATCACCCCATGACTGAGATTTCTGTGGCAACTATCATTGAACTGGAGATGGACATGAGACCATAGATGACCTGTTCAGACATAATGGCCAAGTTATGGAAGGCTGCCATTTCCCATGGTAAATGAAAAATGTTATTTTGGTTGCTGCTGAGGATAAAAGCCAGTATAATGGTGAAGCTGAGCCTAAAGAAAGGCGGAGAATTGTTAGCGTCCTCTGCCCTACCTCTGGCCTTTAAGTAATATATTTCCATGTTAAATATATGCAGTTGAAAGCAGATTTTCTGTTAACCCATGGCTAAAGCACCTGACAGTCCCCAAGAGGCAGGAGTAATAGCACTTGTTGAGTACATGCTAAGGACCACATGCCCTACACTTATTGGTGGGATAATGGAGGTGAGCTGGGATGTGGTCTTAATGTGTGTTGGGTCCATAAACATGAAGACATTTGCCATCACACATCTATCTTTATCCATGCTATAGACCAGGGGTCAGCAAATGTTTTCACTCAAGGTAATATTTTCAGTCATCTAGTAAATATTTTAAGTTCAGCTGGGTATATGTTCTCTGTTACAGCTACCTTCACTCAACCAGCATGTAGACAAATGCATATTGCTATACTCCAGTAAAACTTCATTTACAAATACAGGTAGTGAAGTAGATTTTGCCCAAGGGCTATTTGCTGACCTTTGGAATTGAAGACAGCATCTTGATAGGTGCCAGCCTTGGGCATAGCTGTGTAAACCTGAAGCCTTGATAATGTATTTCAGAGAGAAGCAGGGCTTAGAGGGCTTGGAGTAGAGATAATCAGCTCTGAGAGCTAGAACATGGGCTTCTGTTGGGAGGTTAGGTGATTGCACAGGTCCGTACCATCTCCACATTTGTAAGTCTCACCCATCCTGTAACAGTTGACAAGCTGGATCAGCTTTAATGTGTTTCATTGCTGGTCTTTAGTATGATGAACAGTATGATGAGGCCCTCCCTAGTGGCACAATGGGGTAGGACACAGCACTGCAGCCACGTCAGTGCAAGTTCGATCCCCAGCCCTGGAGATGTCTCCCATGGCACAGCAGACCTTTCCTGTCTCCCCCGCTTCTCCCCTCAGCAGTGTATTTCAGTCAATTTGCCTGTTCTACTTCCCACTCTGTCTATGATGAATCTTCTCATCACCCCTGCACCTCTGGCCTGTACCCCAGTTCTGTATGCATAAATAAATACATCTTTAAAAAACGCAAAAGGACAGTACAATGAATCTGGAGGTATAGGAAATCCCAAGAAATTGCAGAAAGTTCTGCAACATTTGAAGGGACAGGTTAAAAACTCATTCCCTAACGGCATAAGAATTATCAGTACCTGCCTTTACAGATGGGGAAAGTGAAACACAAAGTTCAACAACTTGTCCAAGGTTGCACCACTGATGAATGAAAATACCACAGCTTGTAGCCCCTCAGCCTGGTGCCAGAGCTCACATTACACTCTTGTACACTTGAAGTGCTCTCTCTGACCTTTCAGGGGTGCAGGAAAAAAGATACCATAAGCTAGTCCAGCCTAGCCCATACCTGCTCATCCTCTGCTGTTATTACACATATAGCTGCAGCACCGAGCTGAAAGACAGTCACTAATTTGCCCAGCTGGTAAAAGCATTAGAGCTGAGAGTTTTTCTTTCCATATTGCTTCTCTTTCCTGTATACTCTTCTGCTTATGCAGTAGTGTATCTATTGTGACCCCCATTGAAAACCAACCAACATCTATACCTGAAAGCTGTCTGAGAAATGGGACAAAAGGTATTTTTTTAGCACGCTATCCACTGACAGTTTTAACCTATAAGCTGTAAATTATTATCCAGAGTTAATCTGATTTTGCAGAAGCATTGCTTTTTGCTATAAAAATGGGTAAGAATTCCTTATGAGGGTCTCCTCCTTAAGCTAACTGAAAATCAAAATGCAAGTCTCATGTTTTGCTCCACACACCTGGCTCAGCTGACATGGGCCACTAAGCATCATTAGGGACCTTTGACCCCGGTCAGAAAACTGCGGATGGCTTTGTCTTTATGTGGTTGATTCCATTATTTTAAAGCAGGGTAGGGGAAGAGAGGAGAGGAAAACTGAAGGGGAAAGTATATTCAAATAGGCTGTTTGGAATCCTGCTGATAAGCTAAGTATTTGGTTCAAATGGATTTGAAGCTTTTTGGAGAATTATGCATTAAGCCTAGAAGTTAGTTAGGGAGACCAGCAACTACTAACCAATAAGATCCTGTTAATACTGCACAAATGTTTGATCTGTGGGGCTGTTTGTTTTTCCAAATATTATCACTGCCACTAAGAACAAAATTGGTTTGACCTTTTCAAAAGTCTAAAGGCTGTCTATCCTCATAAAACACCAGGAGAACTATTGGAGTGAACTTCTAGTTTGGTAAACATTTTGTTTTAATCCTAATGGAATTACCACCAAGCTTCTTAATGGATTAACAGAAAGTCCCAGCATGAACAAACTGGCTACTAATAGAATTCAAACTCTTGATGAGTCATAAAGAAAAAAAAAAAAAAAGGGAGAAAACCCAACTTTGTCTTAAATGAATTAAAAATCTTGTGGATTTTACCATAAAAGACCTCTTTAATTGCTCTCTCTGTGTATACATACAAATTAATATATGGAAAGTAATTAAAATTTTTATTCTATATCATCGTGCCTACAAATAATTCTTTTTGAGCTCCTCAAGGCCCCAAATACCTGATATTTGGAGAAATCTCAACCTTCCAATTTTCCAAATACAAAATCCAATATGAATAAGTGAAATTGTTACCTGAGTTTGTGTGTGTGGATGTATGTTTATGTACATGTGTATGTGCACATGTTGTGTGTGTGTGTGTGCTTATATTTTTGACTCTTGCCCCAAATCCCGCTTTCTCTTCCTTGTGCATTGTCTTTAACCAGAATTGGAACGTAGGACATACCCTAGGCAGCAGAGATTGATCTGCACGCATATCCAGGAAACAACCATTCCCTTTCACTGTAGGTTGAAGAGACAGTGAACTGTAAAACCCATGTAATCAACAACATGGCTGAATGTGGGTTAAGATGCTGGGGCTGGGAGAGTGAATGAAAAGGAATCACACCCTTATAGCCACCACAAAGGTAGGTCAGTTCATAAGGAAAGATCTAAATTAAGTAAATTCCAAGTAAATATGTTCTTGAGGGAAATGGGTATTTTATTTGTAAGGAAAAAATATAAGCGAAAACTTCCTGAACAAGACGTCAATTCTAACATCATTTTCAGGATTATCAGCAGTTTCTATGAATGCTCCTATAATATTAATAGAAGCTTGGGTTTAATAGATTTAAGTCTGTAATGAGATTAGACTAACGTGCATTTAATAATTTTTCTGATCATTATTTCGTTGGAGACTAAGCATAGATGCTAAAGATTTCATGTAAATGTCTGAAACTTTTGCACAATAGGATTTTTGAAGTTTTTAAACTGTAATGCACTAGGACCTGTAAAGGGCATCACTGTCTAAAATACTTTATAGCATAAATCCTCTATGCAATTAAAAAATTAACACTTTCAGATACATTTAAATTATAAAAATAGTGAGTTTGGGCCTCCCTGGTGGCCTAGAGGTTAAGGCTCAGTGCTATTTCTGTCACAGCCTGCACTGTACCCCCGGCCAGGGAGTGACCCACATGGCGCAGCAGACCTCTCCTGTCTCGCCTGCTGCTCCCCTCAGCATTGTTTCTCAGTAGATCTGCCTGTTCTGCTCCCTACTCTGTCTCTGACAAGTCCTCTATAATTATGGCCTACACTGCAGTTCTTTTATGCATGCTTGCATGAACAAATAAATACATATTTGAAAAAATATATTGCATTTATAATAAAAAATAGAAAATACATAAGCCATGAACTTTTCAAAATCATTTAGGTGCTCTTTTCTTCCTAGAGATATTGCCTACTTCTCATGATTTCTCTTCCAGTTACTCTTCTCTGTGTACATATAGTTTTTACATAATTGAAACCGTACTGTATATGTAAATTTGCATCCTGTTTTTTGTTTTATGCTTCATATTTCCCTTTCATTGAAAATCTTTCTAGAAGGGTCAGCTGTTGCACTGTACCACTGCCAGCATCAAAGTTGTTACTATAAATCATTACTAATTTGATAGTAAATGTAGTGGTAGTAATTTACTAATAGTAATTACCTAATTCCTCTGTTAATTTTTATGTGAGTATAAGTGTTGCCACATGATTCCCAATCATGATTATGTGATTCTGAATTTTTGATTTCACATCCTTTGTTCATTTACTATTGGATGTTAGTATTGTGGCTGTACTGATTTGTACTGAGTTCTTTTTGTTCCACAATCGGCAGATTAATTTCTAAGATACAGCAGCAATTAATTGAGCATTTATATACAAAGTTTATGAGATGAGAGGAATTCATTTCTAACTGAACTAAATTGTATTTTATAGAATTGTGCAAAGTTTCCACTTTCATGTTGGCTCATACTGAACTGATCAATTCTTTGTGTAAAATATAAATAATTTACATCTTTAGCAGATTCCATATGCAACAGTATTTTAAAGCCAGGATTTGCATTATTCTCTGCTTCTGTAATTCTCTCTACATGATTTGTAAGTATAGAAATCAGGGTATGGTCAGCTGCTTCTAAACGGCTATTCTGCCACCTTCAACATGGACTAATCCCTGGTCACGTACAAAAAAGAAAAATCTCTGACACTGAAGTGAAGGTCTATCCAGGACTATTGTGATATTTGCCAGAGACACTGGTGTTGGAGAGGGTGGGGTTTCTTACTATATTGACTCAACAGGATTTTTGCTGAAGGCAGG